GAGAGCTGGCGTCACCGCCCGTGTCGCCCCGGGGAGGAGCAACGTGGGGGGGGGGGGTGCGAGAGGGAGTTTAACTTCTAAGAAAATGTGTGAAGATGGAAGAATGAGTTTTACATAGCAAGGAAATGCTGCCAAACTTGACAGGGATATTTTACGCTTGGACAGTTTTAACACCCAATAAATGGCTTTACTAAACTGATGATAAAAAAGGGTTAAAATCGGCGAAGATGCAAATAGAAGAAGGAAATTGTGTGTAGCAGTTCTTATCGGTTTAAATGGAGATAGAAACTAGAAAAGTAATCAAGAAGTATTCCACTGAATTAAGTGCATAATTGGTTTGCTGCCCATTTTTGGCTTGCCAAATATTGGCAATACCAAAGACTTGCCAACTATGGCAATTTTATAAGAGATAGGCACGAACCAACCAAGTAGTAGCCAATATTTGACACAATACCAAACATTGGCATGCCAATTTTTGATAACAAACCAATTATGCTCTAATAACCAACACCTGACCATACTTTAAAAGATGAAGAATGAGCGACTATTCTCCTCTATTCCCGATGAAAGCAAAACAGTAGCAGAGGACCATTTATAGGAGGTTCCATTTTGGCTTTTACTCCCATCACGCTCATTTCTTTAATGATTAAACGTACGTAGCTGTCAAACGTACGCGCATATTATACCTTATAGTTTACAACAAAAACGTCTGCTTGCTAGCTACTGTATTTCTTTAAAAAGGAAATATTGACAAACTTCCAAAAACTATTTCTTCATCTTGTCCTAGCAAGACTACCATCTCCGTGGAGCGAGTTCTCCCGCTAATTGCAAGTCACTAACCGTTGAAATATGGAGCGGGCTTTAGACTCATTCAACAATTTCTAAAAAAACTCTAAGGGCCTATGTGTGCTATACGACTAGGTGGTGAAATTTTTAGTACCACCCCAGATTTGAAAGAAGAGTTGGACCTCTATGTAAGGAGTTCTCTTCTACATGTTGTTGGAGTTTGAGAAGATGAGTGGTTCCCGCGCGCTCCTTCATCGCCTGCCTTGTGGTGACCTATATCACGGCAGTATCTGTTTTTCGTGAGGTGACTAATGCGCTGGTGCGGTACGGAGGGAGAGCAAGGTGCTTTTTTGATGCCTAATGTTGCTGTTGGTGCAACAGTGTAGGCACAGTGCCTTGGATAGTTACTCGTCTGCTCAAAGATCCAACACGCCTTGGATTGTTGGCCCATTTGCATGTATATATAGCTGGTTGTTAATGGTGAGAGATTGGTGTCTAGCTCTCTCTTCTTGCTCTTCTTGCGAGTTGTGGTGATCAATGGCTGCTCCTTCCGGTCCCGGTCCCGGTCAGGAACCGCCGGCGGGGAGGCAGTTGAGCTACCACCTCGCCGCTGCTGTGAGGAGCATCAACTGGACGTATGCCATTTTCTGGTCCATCTCCACCGGCCCAGCGGGGTAATTACACTTTCTATTCGTCCTCTCAGTCCATGAATTTGTTTTTTTCGTACAGGTCGCATTTCAACGTTTTTCATCCTAAAATTTTACACACATACACATAACATCCTTGTTTATTTGCACAAATTTTTTCAGAATTTTTTGAAACCAAAAAGTTTGAACTTTGATTTTTCTTTTTTTTAAAGGCCTCCGTGGAGGCCGAGAGCCAAACGCCTGTTCTCAGTACTATAGTACTACCTCCGTGCTAAAGTAGAAGACGTTTTCAGGTTAAACTAGCTAGCCCGTAAAAATATCTTATATTTTAATACGATGAAGTATACTTTTTGAAGCAAATACCCGAGCTAAGCTAGGTTCCTACTTTTCATGTATCAAGCCCATCGGTTTGTTTTCATTTGTATTGTAGAGTTCTGGCGTGGAAGGAAGGATTCTACAATGGCGAGATAAAGACGAGAAAGATGACCAGCTCAACCACGACGACGGAGCCGAGAAGCCAGCAACTGAGGGAGCTCTACGAGTCGCTCTTGTCCGGCGGCAACTCCGACCGCCGGGCAAGGCTCTCGCCGGAGGATCTCGGCGACGCTGAGTGGTACTACACCATAAGCATGAGTTACACCTTCCGGCCTGGCCAAGGGTACGCCTCTGTCCAGATGCATTATATTAGGCGCCTAACGAAAATTAGGTGTTTCCACAACGTGACACAAGTTACTTCGATTACCATCCGACCAGGATAAAATTGATGGTGGATTTCAACAGTCGTATACTAAAACCGTACACTCAAATGCCAAGTGCACAGACCTATGCAAAACATCTAAATGACGAAACCTCACCAGTGCTAAATAAAAAAAAATGCGAGAAAACTTCCGACCTATTCATCTTCAATCATGACAGTATAACAAACACCAGAATTAATGAAAATTACATCCAGATCCGTAAACCACCTACCGACGACTACAAAAACTGAAGCGAGCCGAAGGCGCGCCGCCATCATCGCCCTCCCTCGCCGGAGTCGGGCACAATTTGTTGTAGTAGACAGTCGGGAAGTCGTCGTGTTAAGGCCCCATAGGACCAGCACACCAGAGCAGCAACTGCCGCTGATGAAGAATAACGTAGATCGAAAGGATTCAACCTAAAGACACACGAATGTAGACGAACAACAACCAGATCCGAGCAAATCTACCAAGGATAGATCTGCCAGAGACACACCTCCACACGCCCACCAACTATGTTAGACGCATCACCGGAATGTGGGCTAGGCGGGGAGACCTTTATTCCATCTTCAGGGAGCCGGCGCCGTTTCGTCTTCCTGAACAGGACACAAACCCTAACAAAACTGAAAGAAGCGACTAACAACGGAGCTCTCCCGCCGGCCCTTGCCATGATCCACTGCGCCCCCATGGCCCTAGGGTCACTGGAGGCAAGGCGGACCTGCGGCGGCGCCGGCGAGAGGCACGATTCCTAGCTTTTTTTGAAGAGGATGAGGCGGTCACCAGTGCTAAATAATTAAATGGACAGAGTTTAGCTACAACAAGTTAAGTAACTAAGCTTTGGGACTTTAGTCGTTAAACTCTTAACACCTTACCTAAGCACTTATGAATTGGAGAGACCTAATGCACCTGGACGGAATGAGTACCGAAAATGTTTTTTTGATCCTGGAATCCAGTGAGCTTGGATTTTCTAAAAAAAATCTAGAACAAAATTTTCAAGTGTCTAAAAAAACAAATCTGAAAATTATGCACGGCTTGTTTAGTCCTGAGGTGGAACACCCTTCTTTTGCGGGGAAGGGTGGGTACACCCTTATGTACCGTACAACTTGCCTTCTAGTGCATGGGAATCTGAACCATGTGCAAAATTTATTTGCATTGTTATATTGGATACTGTTCATCATCTAGTGAATCCGTATTTTGTTTCGGACCATAGTTTAGAAAACCTGACTACATTGCCGAACCATTGAGCCTGTCGGTTCAGGTTTTCACCGGTTGGACCTCTGGATCACCAGTTTATTTTCTGGTTTATTACCATAAAATAATATATGTCGAGTAATATATAGATGCTAATATAGTGTAAAACAGCGGTGAAATAAAATTACTTCCTTAACCTGGACAACAAAGTAGCAGAGCCAGATTGGTAATTGGGCCTTGGCTAGGCCCTGCCTGATACTCCAGCGACCTGGGAATCACTTCTCCTAGCGAAATTTTCGGTTTCTATAAACCAGGGTCGCCAGTTGTGGCTTGGTAATCCTCATGACCCTTTTTGTATTCCTATGAACTTCCCGGTTAATCAATAAATAGGCCTTCACTGCAAAAAAAAACTTCTCATGAATTCTATAAGAACATTTTTTTTTCTGGATTTTGTTCTTCAAAGGCCTGGTTTATTCACCGGTTTTTTCAGAAAACCAGCCAGTTTGTGTGAAATGGTCTTATTAGCTTAAGAAACCGCCAAGGCCCGTGCTCTAGTTGGGTTTTTTTACCTATGTTTCTGATAGAGCTATTTTGTGCTAATCCGTACGATACCGCGTGAATCAAATTGCAACTCCTGCACCTAGCACCTTCAGGCCTCCTTTGGTTTGTAGGAATTTTGTAGGAACTCTATAGGATAGGATTTGCAAAGGAAAAATTCCTTCGAAGCGCTTTGGTTTATAGGAATGGATTCCTGTTCCTATGTAGGATAGGAATCAATCCTTCACATTTTGGAGGAAAAAAAACATTAGCCTAGACTCAATGGAAAAATTCCTATCCTATGCACCAGATGGTATCTCTTTCTCTATAAAAATTGAGATGCATGTCATCTCACTTCCTATGATTTTCCTATTCCTATAAAATTCCTATCCTATCCACCAAAGGAGGCCTCAGTCATTTCCATCATCTTCACTGAAGCTACTAGTCAGAAGGTTCAGTTGTCCCTTTCTCTCACTATTGTAGAATAGGTTAGCAATGACGTGCACAAGTTGCCTAGCAGTGGCAGGCATTGATGTGGAGGGTGCCTGCCACTGACCTCCTACCACTACTAATAGTTTATCAGTGGCGGGCAGGGCGCCAACCACATATAGAAGATTTCCGGTGGTAGGCTTTAGTTCCTACATGCCATAGGTCTTACAGGTACCACTGCTCGGGCCCCTACGCGACCTCTGCTGAGGGAACCTACAACAGTGGATGTACCATCATTGACGAGCTTGAGGACCCATCCTTTTTTCTCATCGCTGACATTCATCTTCTGACAGGTGTCTCTAGTCGGGTAAGGGCTATAAGTGAAAACGTATTATGCAATAGTATAAATATGCGGACGTGAAAATAGCAAGCGATACATGCACTATTTGCTTTTACAAATCCACGAATTCATCTTTTTTATGTCACTCACATGTACATCTATATAAAAATGTGAAATTATTTTCAGATTTTTCTTCAAATCTTTTTAATACAATTTATAAATAAAATGAAATTTTTGCCTTGTACGATCTGGCTACGTGTGATATAGTGACATTAGTACCTACTACATACTTGGCCCAATATAATCACAACCGTTGCTAGAGTGAATACGTACTTACTGAAGTGTTTGTTCCGTCAGGTTGCCAGGCAAAAGCTTTGCGAGCAATCAACACGTTTGGGTGTACAATGCTCAATCCGCAGATACCAAAACTTTCGAGCGCGCGCTCTTAGCAAAGGTAACCCAGATATCTCACGCTTAATTTGTATACATCTTTTGGTCGTTAACTAACTACTAATATACTCCATCGTGGTGCCTACTGGACGCTTAAAAAAAGACCGTGCCTATTAAGGTCAGCACACTACTTCCATCACGCTTCCATCATTGCATATGCATTGATCTATCACGTACATGTGTTCCCTTCACATCTCTCATCTCAAGTTGGCTCGCATTTTTCCAGACAGTCGTTTGCATTCCCTTTATGGGTGGTGTGCTCGAGCTCGGGACGTCGGATCCGGTGAGTGCGCATGATTTTCACTTTTAAAGGAATTTCATACGGATTTTGGAGGATTTCGTTCTTTAGGATCTTTTCCTATAAAACTTGTTTGGTTTGTAGGATTAGAAACCATATAAACTATTCATGTGGTCTACTTTATATACAGTTCCAAGGTAAAAAAATTCCATTGAGTCTAACCTCATGGATTTTTTTCCTTGTTTCTATAACAATTATGCATTGCACCTAATGCTATAGGAAAGTTCCTGCATTTTTCATGCGGTGCAACCAAACAGCTTCTATTATAGATTCCTCAATCACATAATGGTTTATCATTGACGGGTGGGCGGCCCATCATGAGGTATTCGTCAGTGATGACCTATAAGCGGAGAGGCCATGTCACTGACGGCCACAATTCTTCCGTTGTGGGCTGGGAAGGGCTTGTAGAATTAGCCCGTCAGTGATACAAGTCCAGGGGACGTGAAAATTGTCATGTCTACAGCTTGTTCTGTGCAGCCCGTCTGTGGTGACTTGTTTCCTACTGCTAGCACCTAGCGGTGCCTGAAAACCCATTGCTAGCAATGCAGCCCCAGCCGCACTGCCTCTTAGCAATCCCAGTCGTTGAGGGAGCACATTTCCTATATACATAATTACATATACATACACACATATTGCATTCTAAGCACATACAAATCAAGATATATTTATCTACGACATAAGCAAAATTTGATCTTCTAAGATTTCAACTATATTACATAGTTTACAACCAACAGAATAATACATCCATACCATATGCATCATAAATTGCATCTAATGGGAAGTTGTAGAAACCTAATAGACATAGTTCTAGAAATCTAATAAGTTGCCAACAAATGAAATATGTTGCTTTCTTGGTTACGTCATTGCCTTCGCAATGGGTGCCAAAAGATGAGCAGGCCAATGTCTTTCCAAGACCATAACCCCACAATCAGGATGCAACACCCGAAACATCCAACACCTAAGACCCTTGTCAGCTCCATCTTCGGATTTGTCCGGATTATGCTCATGGTAATGTCTGTTTGTATAGCATCATCAAAATAGAAGATCTTCACGGCTATGACATTCCAGCAACACTGTACAAAACACTCTTTCAGATAAATGTCTCTTGTACAGTGTGCCAAAACATGGCACTAACGGCGAGATGAAGTAGGTCTCTCCCTAATCTACCTGTTGACACATAAATAAAGAATTTCTTCAGTTTTGTGCTAATAGCATATCCAGTCTTAACAAGTATAATCAGTTGAATCGGATGTTTGGAGATCAAATGTTGGGGTAAAACATAACAATGCTTTTCTTGGTTACATCGATGCCCTACTCATGGCAAAAATTCTCACAGGAGAACTTAGATCCATCACCAGTAGTTTTGTACAATGTGCCAAACTAGGCCCCATGTTTTTAAAATTCAATTCAACTTAGCAACGCAAGATTCAAAATTTTAAAAACTCGTACTTAGTTTAATTCAAGATCAAGGTCATGTGAATGCTACAAAAGCAAGCTGAGGTTTTATTGAATTCATGCTCCAGCCAACTCATCCAAAAGTCCAAACTGATGGAAAGAGGTGGGCAACATTTTCATCACCCCCTCGTGTCTAGCCTATTTTAGTCCTTAGATGTAGGATCAACGTAGGTCGTAGTACCATTTTATATAATACTGCGTTGGCAGGGTCTTGAACTCAAGACCTCTTGGCTCAAATACCATACTGAATTCATGCTCCAAACAAATCATCCAAAAGTCTGAAGTGATGGATAGAGGTGGGCAATATATTTCAACAGGTTTATTAGGCATACACATGTCAACTTTATGAATAATAGGCTTAGGTATGGACAAAGTTGTGATATATCTGAGTTTGCTCTTTGCAGCATCGCACGAAAGTCAGCAATGAAAGCCAATAGAAATTGGCCCATACTAGTTGAATGCAAGCTTAAGACCATGCAAATGCTACAAGAGTAAGATGAGCTTCATCAGGAATGTAGATGGCAAGTTTATAGATAGCATTGTTAGCTACATGTTATGTATAAAGTTGTGATCTATTTATCTAATGAACATGAACTTGGTATTGTAGCATCACACAATAAAAAAGCCTCAAAACTCAGCAATAAAAATCAATATAAATGGCCTCAGACTTGCATATATAGCATGCATATAGCACTAACTTCTAATGACCGGCGCTAAAATCATGGCCAATGGGCTACATATGACTAAGTTAGAAACCAAATCAAGGGAAAATATCAGGTGGGCCCAAAATGTTATCTCTTCCCCAATGTATTTGTTGATGCAATAAAGGCATGTGGTGAAGGAATAACATATGTGAGGACCATGTGGAGTATATCATTGGATTAGGCTACGAATTAACCTTATGTAAAGAATTGGTCATGCTTTTATCGGCCAACAGAAACTAGCGCTTACATTATTTCAGGAAATTTACTCACAACTGGCAATAGAGTACCTATGCTACCCATATGTAAACAAGATGCTAGTTTTATTTATTTAGCTAGTATGCAAAATAATAGCTTAGACCTAGGATGTTGTTCCCTTGAATAGTAAGCACTCTTTCTCCTGTTGGATCATGTAACCACGAACAATGCCTATTTATACAATTGGTTGCATGTACAAAATTCGTTAGGAGATAGACATGCTTACAAATGATAGAAGCAACAAAAATTCTTGGTCCATCCATTGAAACCATGGCCAACAATTATGTCTCGCCTTTCTTCCTTCTTATAATGAAAAGGAAGGGCTCCTGCTGGTAGCAAGAAAATTGGATCACATAACCCCCAAAACTGTCCAATTTGGATGACATAACCCCCTCATCCTTAAAACCAAGTTCTTAATCCCCTAAACTATCTTAAACCGG